ACCCCGCCGCATTTTTCCGCCTGTCCCAAGTCAGGAGCCTCTGGCCTTTGTTAGTCTTGTATGTTTTGTTTTTTTAATTTCAAGTTTAGTGTGACGTCCATTTTTACTGAACTAGTATACATTTTTATTTAGGGGCCAGCTGAAGCCCGCCTCTGGTTGCGGGATTTTCCCGTTGTGTTGAAGACCCATTGGTGGCCTCGGGCTGTTTTCTGCTCTTTGGTTGGGTTGTTGTCTCTTTGACACATTCTACTTTTCCATTCTCAGTCTTAATTTCACCAATGAAACTTTACATTATTTTTTGCCTTCGTATTAAATTAATTTGTAAACTTCTTGGAACTCTACAATGACCGTCTGATTACAATTAGACACGCAAGAATGTGAAATATGAAAACTTATTTGGCCTTCAATGCCTCAACCTTTTTTTATGTGGGTATCTTCTTTGTTCAGTAAGAATTCGATTTTGACAATTATTCTGCAAACTACCATAGATTTCCGGTAATTGTTCTGCATGAAACCCCATGGGAAAGCACATTGGCATTATTTGCTAAACATTTATTGGAACCCAATAATTTGGCAAGGTGTTGCAACCTGTAATAAGAAGACGTGAATGAAAATGCGGAGTTTGTAAGACCAGGCCCAAGCAAGCAGCCACTCGCTAGCAGCCACTTCGCTAGCAGCCAGTTTTCAGATATTTATATAAACCCAAATGTTGCATCAGATTCAAACGTTCTTCAGATGTTTTTATTAATATATATTACCACTATATTGTCAGTTTTAAATATATAATTAAACAGTCAAAGACATTATTCAATGAATTTTAAAATTTCATTTCTTGTTCATTAATCATATAAATACAAAAGAAATCGCTTTCAATATATCACACAGCGTGCTGCACGCTTTACATTTTAAATAGTCAACACTTTTGAGTGTATATAGAATCGTAAATAATTATGAAATTATTTTAAATGTTGGCAAAATTGCACTATTGTGTGAAATAGCTTTCTATATTCTCGGCATCCTGTCAAATACTAGTAGTTCATGAAAAGTAACTATTGTTCTGCATTAGAAGAAAAGAAAGTTTCACTCGTGCTTTAACTTTTTTTTTTGACACACAAAACTGTTTTGACAAAACATTCTACTTCTGAACCAGTGGATTTCGCTTACTTATGATTGGACGAAAGGTTTATTTTTTGTACTCAAAGTATGGTGGACAAGGAAACTATTTATTAGCTTAAAAAAAAATTATCCGTGCTATACCTAAACTAGGAATTTTGATCAAGTAGGCGCTAGATCTCTAGCTTACGTTTGCACCTAGTGCAGACAAAAGTATTGCCGTAGAATTTTCTATTATCTTTTCGGGAAGGGTTGGGTAGGGTTTCAGACCTCAACTTTGGACCTACTTTAGAAAAAAAAACTAAGCCGAACAACACCCTGGATTTTTTCTACTGTAAACCTCAGCTACACAGCTTCCCTTTGCATCTAGTGCGGACAAAAGTATTACCGTAGACATTTTTTTATTAACTTTTCGGTAATGGTGTGGTAGGGTGGGTAGCTGAGGTCTACTTGAGAAAAAATCCAGGCTCAGTGTTTTTTTATAATGTAATAAGCTGGCAAATTATGAAAGCTAACGTCTTAATTGATAGGCATAGAAATAAAAAGAAAACGTATGATAACCAATAACAATCTACCGGAGACAAAATAACGTCGTTTTAGGTAACTGGTACGATGGTCTGGATGCCGGGTTCTTCATTTCTGTATTCTTTGATATGTTATACCATTTTTCTATATTCTTTAATTAGTGTTTTAGGCCATTTATCTCTATTCTTTATTTCTTTTTAATTTTTGCCAATTATTTTGTTCTATTCATATTTAAACACCTCATTATTCTATTTTTTTATGTCTTGGCTCATTGTCTCTTTTATTTATATTTTTTGCCCACTATTCTCTGTTCCGTAAACACCCATCAACACCCTCCGGTTAAGGTCACCATATAACTTTCACAAATAAGCAAAACTAATACCGAATAGGCTCCGAATGGCAAAATGATTGAATGCTAATCCCGGTTTGATTTGTGAAATTGCGCAAATTTGTTTTTCAATCAATTGATCAAGCAAAACACATTATCGTCCTGAATGTTCCTATAATACTGGCAGATGGACCTTGGTCATCAATTCTAATCATCTTAGATCAACCTTTCTAAACTTAAAAGTAATTAAAGATCACGCACCCTAATTGTTCAGATTGATAAAGACTTTTGCATCCGTCGACATTAACTTCAATTTAAATACGATAGATCTGATAACCGCTGTGCATGTATACTTTAAAGACTGGGCTAGTTTTCTTATCAGTTTTATAAGTAGTAACCTCCCTTGTTAATGTGATGTTGTAATCTATCTATCTATTTGTACCATCTTTATATAATATTATATTGTACAATTTAGATTTATGATTCGTTTAATATTTAAATATAATAATTTTTTTTTAGTAAAGATATAAACAAGGTAATTTGAAAGGCTTTGATTTATTTATCACCTTAGTTCAATTCATAAGTCAGGCGGTCTATTTTGTCTACATTATGTTGAAAGAACACCGGGTGTTTACATTGGCCTTATTTACTATCAATGACTGTGAAACAAGAAAGGAAAACATTGTACATAATAAAACGAGAAATAATTAAAATTACATACAAAATTCATCATTAGTGAAATCAAAAACGAAAAACGGAAACAATTTTCATTTTCATTTTGGTTTTTGAGAAATCAAAAACAAAAATTGAAAACACTTTCGTTTTCCGTTTTGGTTTAAGAGAAATCAAAAACGAAAAACGAAAACACTTTTGTTTTTTCATTTTTGTTTTTGAGAAATCAAAAATGAAAAATGAAAACACTCTCGTTCTTTGTTTTTTGTTTTTGATATTTCAAAACGAAAAACGAATGGACACAAATATACACGGACCGATATAGTCATTATAGAGGCTCTCTATATAATATTAGTGACAGCCGCGGATAGTAAACTTTGAATTGATAGTAAATGGCAAATACACTTTATTTATAGTATATGTATGATATTGGTTTACAGAAAAACGCGAAAATTGTCCTGTCCCCAAGTACTTATGAAAATTATGTGTAATTTTAAAAACAGTCCAAAACGGAAGTCTTGTCCATGACTTAAATGTTTTATAATATTCGGACGCCTTTATTTTCGTTTTTCTCTCAAAATAACCCAAACTGAATAATCATAGGCGAGGATGACAAATGTTACTATGCATGGCACCTATAGGACACAGAGGTATGAGCGAGGTTAGTTCTATAGAATCTATCGAAGGATAGAAATCGGCATTGCACAGGGTCATGCTTATTTACACTCGATCTAATAGAGATTGTTGTCTTCTTCTTTTGGTTCTGCTAAAACAACCTTGTTCTTGCCAAAAAAACTTTTTTATCTTTTCAAAAGTTAACACTATTCGAGGGATGTACTAGTGTCATGTGGAATGTTGAAGGTTTTAAAAGAGAATTTTGTAATTTCTTTGGAACAACTTTCTAATGACAAACAAAAAAAAACAGATTTGTACTTTACTGCAGAAGAATGGTTGATTTTTGTTTGCTTTACTTCAAGTAGCAAATATTATACTAGTATCCATACTATAGAACAAACTAATAATCAATGCAGAAGGTAAGTTTGGTCGAGCTGGATGAAGGTCAAGAATTTCGACTGCTACTGTAAAATTCGAGTATGTTGGAAAATGAGCAAAAAATTGGCCAAGAAACAAACAATTTACAAACCCCTCAAAGAGTTTTCGCAAAGGTATTTTCACACTTAGACAGCTTAATACTCTACCATCCCAGTGGATAGGATTTAATGTTTATTTATGCATAGACATACTACCCGTTTTAGCAAGGGTAACACTGCCGGACGGAGGAGGTCCAAAGGGTGATCACATTTTAATACCTTAGTTAACCCGTATGGTCTGGATGAATGACTTCGTCTGTATAATCGTTTAAGGGCTGTTTCTTTTTAAATTAAGCGACTATTTTAACTAAACATGTTACGTTTTAAAGTAGCATTTTGACTAGAAAACATAGCATAGCTTTCTGACTATTTTGGTTAATATGCATGATGATGTTGCGAGCGGGAAACAGTACAGCGGGTACATATTTTGTCTAATCAACACCGGTACTTCCTACAATCTTAAACTCAGGTTCTTAAACTTCATAAACAGGATTTTATACAAATTGAAGTTGGCGTCTACTGTCAGAGTGTTGTTTTGAGCCCTTTTCATAAATTTTAAAGTAAGTAATTTTTCAGCAAAACTTTAAAAAAAACGGTGCTGATTTTGTTTAATATACCTCGTTTATAAAGTTTTTAATCTGATCCATTCAATGTTACTTAAAGATTGCAAAGATAGTGAAGTTGTGCATCGGTGATGAAATTGTTTGAGGATTTTAAATCTTTAATCTATTTTTGCCAGGTTTGGTATTTTATTGTTGTTTGCTTAACGTTCAAAGGCAAATATGTAATGCATTTTTACGACAAGAACATAATAGCAATTGATAAAATATGTAGGCTATCCTTAAATTCAATGCGCTTATATTCTATTTGTGTTTGAGCATCTGCCAAACATGTTTCAGAAATGATTAAATAAATCTAAGAAATTTCAGAAAAAGGCGTTTTTTATGAACACCATATTCACAACAAATCTATGATGGATTTATTTACTAACAAGAACTGTCATAAAAAGACCGACATTGTCACTGCAAAAGACAGGAATGATATAATCATTTAATCAACCGCTTGCAACATCGAAACAGTGCATAATGATTTGTCTCAACGGTAAATGTAAATTTTTTTGGACATTTTCTTGAGACCTGTAAATTATATCCTAATTGTTGTGATTTTTTTCATATGTGTCCAGCAAGCGTATCTTATCTCTTTTAACCATGTTAACCTGTACGACTTATATAAAATAAACTTTCATAAATATTGAGCACATCATTCATACATCTGTGTTATAAGCTAATTTTTATTATCAAATATTGGTACATTTTAAGGCATGCGTATGGACATAATGTATTCTCAACAAATAAGTACAGAAAACAACTAGCAACATTCCTTCGTTTAAATGTTAGAATTTTGTATATTAAGGTAACGTCACAATCTCGCATTACATTATCTTTCTTCAATAAACATGTAGAACCATTTGTAGTTTTGGTAGTACTAAGTGGTTGATTTCTTTTGTTTAAATTTTCTATCCCTATTGCAGGTGGTACAGTCCAGTAACATTATTAATCCAATCACTGAGATTATAAAAGCTCCACCAATTATTCCCATGACCTTAGATGATGTTCGTTCATCTGGAGCACTCGTCAGCGATCTCATGTACTCTAACAAAAATTATATTAATGTAATTATAAGCAAAGAAATATTGTGTGCTTTTCATTTTCGTTTTGCATTACTATTTGTGTTTTCTGTTGTGTTACTTGTACTGTATGGTTCAAGGGATATTTTTAAAAGCATCGACAGTGATATGTATACTTTGTTTTATAGCTTTCAAAAATTTTGTATGACTATAAAATAGATTTGTTAGATGAACTAAATTACAATAGACACATAAATACGGCATCTTAACGTCACCATCAGCGTTAAACTCCGCTATTGAAAAAAAAAACAATTGATCCTTTTGCAGGTTTATTTGCTGAAACTCGTTTTAAGCGTTCTTGACCTACATGTACTTAGATTCGTCCGACTCGGGTTGACTAGAGTTATAAAACCAGTGTTAATGCGCATGTGCGCAACCTTCCCGAATCGAAGTGAAAACTTGACTCGAGTTCCTCAAAATGATAGATATAAATATAGCAGGAGTTGTTAATTTTCTTTTTATGGACGTCGACAATAAACTTTATGTTCAAATATGTAACATAATTAAATAAAAAATTCTATCATTTAATCATTTCTAGTTATAACCAGGCTATTAAATTCATTTAAAAAAATTATCTTGCCCCGTCTTGCTCTTAGTAAACATGGTAAAAGGAATGTATTTTCGTAATACTTTCACATTTTTAATACTCTTAGCAACTCAAAATCCCAAAAGTTATATTGATAAACATCACCGACAGTATTTACACACGAAAAATAATTATTCAATGCCAAAAAACAACAACAAAATTTCACTTAACAGCCCCTACTTTGGATGTATTTTGTATCATACTCTTCTTTGCTTTTCTTGTTTGTAGCCATTTTGTAACTCTACTTAACCTACCTCAACACAGGGTTGATGTCGAGTAAACTCGGATAGGTTCAAAGGTCAAACCCCAAAAAGGGGTGTTGGAAAATACGCAAAGTACTGACATTGAACTATAGTAACGTTATAGCCATAACGCTGTAGTTAATGACTTTATTGTATAGATTTCAAAACTATCACGACGATTAAACGTATTTTGCAATCATAACGTATTTATTGAGATTCTGCAACATTTAATGGTGCCGTGAACAGGGTATGAATTCAAAGCTGAAGTCAGTTCGTGCTGGACACAAAGGAACCGTCACGAAGCTACTGTCAAAATTCGATGAGTTGAAATCTAACATAAATACAGAAGTTGACGAAGTTAACGCTCTCGATGATGCGGTCTCACAGAAACAGAAAACATTGATTGCCTTTAATAGCAGACTCTTAGATCAAACGTCGGAGGATAATCTAGAACAGGAAATCACGGACTCATGTGAGAATATGTATGAACTAGTTTGCAAGGTTAGGCAGATTTATCAAGTCCTTAGAAACAAACACTAAAACGTTACACAATAATGTTGATCCTTCAACAAACAGACTTAACGCAAACGTATATAATTTCACGCCCGAGGTCAGAGTTGATATGAACACTTGTGCAACAGATTCTATGAACGAGCAGTATTCAATTCACGCACCTGCAGTACATACCCGCCCATCAGAGAATATTATATATCAATTCCCGTCAGAGATCGTCAAAAAGTAATTACCATAGGCTTTCTAAGTTAGACTTGCCCTATTTTAATGGAGATATACTCAAGTGGCAGACATATTGGGATTGTTTCGAGTCATCTATACATCTTAATGATACTTTAACGCCAATCCAAAAGAAAAATTATCTTAAAGCCCAGCTTTATGGAAGCGCCGCGCAATTAATAGAGGAATTCGCTAAGACTAATGCAAATTACGAAATCGCAGTCAACCTTCTTACAGATCGTTACGGACAATTTAGTAAACTGATCCATGCTTACATGAAAGCACTCATGAACCTATCCGCACCGACAAATGATGTATACAGCTTGAGGTCTTACGGAGACAAACTAAAATCAGAGGATTAAAGTCACTTGGTCAAACACCAGTGATGTATATATCGCTTTTGGTCCTAGTTGTTTTTGACAAATTACCGAATGAAATTAGGAAATCTATTGCGCGAGGACACGGGAGAGATAATTTGATCTTGGAAAAGCTACGCAAATCGATAACTAGAGAGGTTGATATACTCGAAGCAGGACAAAGAGTCACGGAATCAGACAGATTGCACACCACTGCATTTTTCATCGGTTCGAAACTAACTTCACGATCATACAAAAAGGGCAAATTAACAGACACACGAAAGAAGGTAAATACACGCATATGTATTATTTGTTCAGGTGAGCACTTTCCGACAAAGTGCACTGAAGTTACAGACTCAAACACAAGAAATCAAATTGTCAAACAGAAACAGTTATGTTTCAACTGTTTAGGGTCACACCAAGTGGCCGCATGAAAGTCTATAAAACGATGTAAATAGTGTAGCGGAATGCATCATACAAGCATATGTAAAGGAAAAAGGTCAATACAGACACGACACAGGAACCGAAAATATAGCAGACAGCTATCAACGTGGTTGAAACTACAGACAAAACTAGTGTAATGTATGCATCATAACAAAGTCACGACATTCTCCTTAAAACAGCAATTGCACCAGTTATATATAACGACCAAGGAGTAGAATCTTACATCTTATTTGCTCTTCAACTGTTTCGCTTTTTATACATCCTCGGCTTTCAAATATTCGGCTTTGAGCGTTCTTGATGAAGGTAAATCCAGAAAAGCGCTTCGAACGCATGAAATTTTTTAACGTGTTGTTTTCATATTTTATTTGACGAGGGAACACAGCGTTCTTTCATAACGCAAAAAATAGCGGATAAATTGGAAATAAAACCGACTCATTGTTCCACAAAATTCCGTCCCGATTCAGAGCAAGATTTTACAGACTACAAGGAGTTTGCCACACTTGAGATAACACAGTGGAAAACGTATTGAAATCGACCTAATAATAGGCGCGGACTACTATTAGGACATTATCGAGTACCATATTATTAGAGGAAAAGGACAAACAGCTGTACAGTCAAAGATCGGATATTTATTATGAGGACCTATCAATAGAAACATCCACCAGCCTTAAACATCTACAGTTTTTTTAAAACGTCATTTCATCCCATCAATAGGAGGAGACAGAGATTGAAAAGTTCTGGACACTTGAGTCAATAGGAATCAATACATGTAAAAACAAGGAGAACACCAACTATTGACAGACCTACCACAACACAGCTATTGACTATGAGAACGGAAAGTACACGGCAAAGTTGCCATGGAAACTAGATCATCCAGATTTGCCTTCAAATATGGCCGTTGCTAAAGGTATGACCGAAAATATAATTAGACGCCTAAACCGGGAGCCACATTTACCATACAAATACAGTGAAATAATCAATGAACAAGAAAAGAAAGGATTTATAGAGAGGATTTCAGATACGTTAGATGATAATAACAAACGTATGATTCACTACATTACGATTGCAGTTGTAAACCACAGCAAGATTTACCCAGCTTAAACGACTGCTTAATATCAACGCCACTCAATCTAAATGACTTAACCAAAATACTAATCCGATTCAGAATAGGGAAATACGGTATCAGTACAGACACTGAATAGGTCTTTTTACAGATATGACTTGACATGAAGGATCGTGACGCTACATGTTTCTTTTGGCTAGCTGACCCAATCGACCCACCTGGCAATCTTACAACTTACAGGTTTAAATCGATATTGTTTGGTGCAACATGCTCACGATTTATTTTAAACGCCACTCTACTTAAGCACTTGAAAGAAAAGGAAAATAGTACAAAACAAACGATGAAAGGGGACTTACAACTGCAATCGTACACAATACGAATGGGGGTAATCTCAGAATCTTTTTTTCACAGGGTGGTGAGGAATGTAGTGAACCATACGTTTGTTATTATCATCTTTTGTTTCTATAAATTACTTAAAACCTTAACTAATTCTTCCCTAGATGTAAAGCTTTGGTTTTGAAGTTTGGTTGTACCTGCCGAAAACTTATTTCAAAAAGAATAGCACATCATCGTTTTTACGGAGATGTTGTTTCCCGAGCCCGGAAATTTAGAAACAATCCGGGTAAACTTATCGATCCTTCAAATAAACTTATTCTAAAAGGTTACCAATTCAACGCTGTAATTAGATCTTTGATTATTATTTTTATTGGATTAATATTAATTTTGTTATCAGTAAATTAAAATTAAACTAAAATTTATTTTTATATACATATGCACATTCATGGCTCTACAATCTATCGATACCTGTATCTTGGAATTGCACAAGGTCATGTTTTTCTCTTACTGTTTAAGACGTCTTTGCACTAAATCCTAAATCCATTGGATTTTGGATGTGTACTGATTGATATTTTAGTCTTAAATGCATGATTTTTGTATTAGTTGTTATTGACTTTGAACTTTCTGTCAGTAACTGCGAGTACTCTCAGATCTGTACTTTTTGTTGTGGGGATTGTAAGTACCCTGCCATGTCCACTTTGTGTTTTTGTTAGATATATTTCTATTTGTATCCATCTAATGAGTTAAGCCCTTTTCAACTGGTTTTTATAGTTTGTTCTTATGTTGTACTGTTACACCACTGTCCGAGGTTAGGGGAGGGCTGGCGCCTCCAAACGAGTTTGACCCCGCCACATTCTGATCGTGCCTGTCCCAAGTCAGGAGCCTGTAATTTAGTGGTTGTCGTTTGTTGCTGTTTAATATATTTGTTTTTCGTTCATTCTTTTGTACATAAATAAGGCCGTTAGTTTTCTCATTTGAATTGTTTTACATTTGTCATTTCGGGGCCTACAATTGCTGACTATGCGGTATGGGCTTTGTTGAAGGCCGTACGTTGACCTATAGTTGTTAATTTCTGTGTGATTTGGTTTCTTGTGGAGAGTTGTCTCATTTGCAATCTTACCACATCTTCTTATTTTTATATTATATGTAGACAACATTCTGTCAAGTGTTAAGACTAATGACGAAGCCATGACGTATTTAAAAGATTCCAGAGATGTCATGTCAAAGAGAAGAATCAATTTGCGATCGTGCGTGGAGCTCAAACTGCAGTGATTTAACAGAAATTGCTAAAAAGGAAATTTAGCCGACAAGAACAGTACGGTGAAAATTTTAAGAATGATATGGAACACTGAAAAAGACACAATTTCTTTTCATAAGGTAAACGTAACAGATATTAAGAAACCAAAAATTACGAAACATGAGATACTCAAGCAATCATCTCTAATCTACGATCCCATGGGAATACTTTCGCCAGTGTCCGTTAGGGCCAAAATCTTAATGCAGGACCTCTAATTTTGAGTGGGATGAGCCACTCCCGTTAAACGTACAACAACAATTGATGGCATTAGTTTGAGACTTAGAACTATCGACAAACACTGAGTAACCGAGACAGTTTGTAACTAAGTGTACAGATGAACAAAAACAGTTACATGTTTTCGTTGATGCTAGACAGAGAGCCTATATGGATCAGTTGTTTATATGACAAACGGACAGCAGTCAACATTAGTATTTGCTAAGAGTCGTGTTGAACCTATAAAGACATTGACATTATCACAGCTGGAACTAATGGCCGCTGTGAGTGGAGCTAGAATTGCAGCACATGTAGGATCAGCTTTATCAATAAACAAAATCACGTACTGGTCGGACAGTCAAATAGTGCTACACTAGTTAACAACGACTAAACATCTGAAAACAATCATACCAAAACGAGATCCCTGGTTTGGCGGTTGGTGTAAGCGCTTAATAGGACTAACAAAAATGTGATAACGAAAACTTCTTGGAAGATCGTACATTACATTGGAGGATTACCAAACAATAGTCACCTAAATTGAAGCCGTTTTGAAAGATCGACCTTTAACTTATGTGTTTGCTGACATCGAGGATCAGGAACCTTTGACGCAATTGAACCTGCTATATTGTAGGGGAATTATATGTACACCGTATTCACGAAAAGACATCGACGAATATACAATTCTCAAAGACAGAAACGACATCTCTAAACGCGCAGAACTACAAGCTTTCATAACTGACCAATTTTGGTCGCGATGGAAATCAGAATAGTTAACATCGCTACGTGAATACCACGCTCGAACAGGAGATAACGAACAGAAATGCAGATACAGTGGGAGACGTCGTACAAATCCATGAAGACAAGTATCCAAAACAAATGGACTATCGGAGTCAGTGATTCTTTAATAACTGTAAACGGTTGACTGAATAGGGCAGCCGAAGTGAGATCAAAATGATGGTGCTTTTCTCGACCGATCGTTAAATTATATCCCCTGGAGATTTGTGACAATATTCATTCAGGAGACACAAGTGATACTCATTAACCAGGAACTAGTAACATACAAAGACGATTACCGGTTCATGAAGCTGCCGTGTGTGCCAGCAGAAACATTCATGAATGGACTAAGAGATAGACTTTAATTGTAATCAGTCAAGGTTAAGTGAGTAACGTATATTATTTGAGATGGACATAAAATTTAAATTTCTTTTATCTATACTTCATTTTTTTTAAGTTTTCATGATTACATATTTCACTTTTGTCGGCCCCACAATGACGGTAAATACGCGAATTACTTACATTGAACTATGGTAACGTTTTAGCCATAACGCTGTAGTGAATGACCTTATTGTATAGATTTCATAGCTATCACGACTATTTAACGTATTTTGCCATCATAACGTATTTATTGAGATTCTACAACAGGGTGTTGGATTGAGTAAACTCGACAGACTCTACTAAACCGAGTTGGACGAATCGAAGTAGGCACTTGTGTTATGTAAGTAAATATATATATATATAAGATAAACTTTTAAAGTAGTCAGCACTTCTATATTGACATGAATTATTTTTGATAGGAGTTAGGGTATTTCGAAAAATTCAAAGTTTTGGAAACAGTTAATTTATTTATGACAATATCAATGATAATTCTTGTCAACACAGAAGTGCTGACTACTTGGCTGGTAATAACGTCGGGAGAAAACTCCACCAATAGTGACATTGACCCAGTGGATGTAAATAAACTCCTCATAGTTACCAGGATTGAAATTTTGTACGTTTCGTCTACAAAAGACTCAATATATAATTGGTAAATTCTTAAGTCAGGGATTTCGTGACTATAGATTGCTTGAAAACATTACTATATTCCTCCATAGTTGCTAAGATTTGAGATTTTGAAGATTGGCTATACCTGTAAAATTCTTTTTAAAAAAACGGGATATAACATCCCAATGTTTACGGTAATTTTGTTTTTAAACGATTCATGTAAACGCATTGATCCTTTGAATAAACCTATTCTTAAAGGATGTCTATTTACACCGTAGTAAGACATTTGATTATAACACTGGATGCAATGACTTACCGTGATTTCCCAGTGAAATAAAAACCGATAATTTCACATGTGAAATAAACTCTATAATATAGGTGTTGTCAAGACGATGTCGATGACGTTGCATCAAAGCAAATTGTGAATGCGTAAAAAAAAGATAAAGTTCCTTTCATTTTCTCCTTTATTTCCATTTAAAAGTCCATTGCCAATGTAATAAAAAGAATAACTAATCACAGATTTCAAATATCATGAATTAATGTGTTGGTTGGTCACTCATTGAATATTTTTCTATATTTGAATTCTTCGATAAGTTATTCTATAAATATTGTTTTAACCGGTACTTATAATGATTTTGTTTTGTTGAATTAAAAAGTTATTAAATATTTATTGCTATACATTAATGAAAACATTAGGTCGATCTTATGTACTTAAATTTTTCCATGGCACAATATCATGCGATTCTCAAACTGTTTCTGGCATTTTTACACTAAATCTGTAGGAAGTGTACTGATTCATACTTTAGTTAACCAAATGTTGTCAATATAACGGAATAATAAACACATGTCATACATGTGGAAGGTTTAGCTAGCTATAAAATCAGGTTCAATTCAATATTTTCTTCTGAAAACTACTATTCCAAGACAATAGTATGACATTTGTTAGCTTTTCGTTCCGCTTGTTGATAAAGTCTAACGTTTGATTTTATCAGTTTTTATGGATTGAATTTCTCTTAGAGTTTTTTTTTTGTTAATACGTTTTTAGTCTGGAAGAACTCAATTTATTCATTAGGTATTATTGGTTTTCAATTAGCTTTCAGTAACTATGGGTTATTTCAGGTCGGCTCTTTGTGTCTTTTGTCTTTATGTTAGTTCATTTTGTGATTCGTGTCGATTTGATGATTCATGCCATTTCCAACTGATTTTTACAGTGTGTTATTATGCTGTGCTGTTGCACCACTGTCCCAGGTAATGGAAGGGTTGATCGCTTACAGACATGGTTAACCCCGCCATATTCTATATGGGTCTGTCTCAAGTCAATTAACTGTGATTCAGTGGTTGTCGTTTGTTGCTGTCTGTCATGTTTGGGTTCGGTTGGTTTTTTTCATAAATCAGGTCGTTATTTTTTTTTTCATTTGGACTTTCATTTTGATAGTTGTCTCATTAGCAATAATACCATATCATTTATTTCATAATAAGTTCAACTTTGTGCAACGATAGTTTAAGTGTAATATAAATTTTCATATGCAGATTTAGAGGAGATTGAGAGGGAAGCCAAAATTCGGATTAAAACGTAAGTAGTCAAAATGTAACTGCAAAGTTATTTTATCTTTTCACGTGTTACTTTTTGTAAAAAAAATATTTCGTCAAAAATCCTATTATTTATGATAGCTTTAAACTTTTCAAAGTTCTATTCTTCAACAAGGACTATTATCTACTGATGTACGTAAATTATTCCTTATACATATCTTACTTTGTGTTGATTTTTTTTCTACCGTTAGCTCCATTTTGATCCTGTTTATTTTGTTTTGCAGATCTTCGCTTCTCATTGTAGTAGATTGATCTTTATCTTTACTAGTTGATAATGTAGACTGTGATTGATCTTCAATTGGAATCGTTTTTGTTGATGATGTCTGTACAGAGTTAGTTATACATGGCGAATTCTCATGTACACAGTTCATGGCAAATTGGTTAAAACATGTCGCTTTAATTGGAACTATAAAAGATATCAAAATAAGTCTATCATTGTAATAGCCTCATTGTTGTCGTTTATTGATTCATTTTACTTCATCCATAACATATATGGCAAGCAATTCATATTATTTGATTTGTTTCTAAAAAATAAAATGATTGAAAATTAATGCAAGCAACACATTTAATGTATTAAAAATCCACAGTGAAAGTTGACCTACCGAATTAGACTTATCACCGGGTTTGTACTTACTTGAGCAATACGACGGGTGCCACTTCTGGAGCAGAATCTGCATATCCTTCCTTAGGAGCACCTGAGATCATCCCCGGTTTTTGGTGAGGCTCATGTTGCTCAGTCTTTAGTTTTCTATGTTATGTTTTGTGTCATCTATTGCCATGGAAAAAGAGAAATCAATCTGGTTTTTCTCATTGACATGAATGCCACACTTTAAGATACTTAAGTAAGTTTACTTGCTTTTATGTCCGATTTACGTCGGATAAAGCTACAATTGTCATTAAAACACTGTATTCCCTTGATCTTTCCTTCTTTTTTAATAGTTTAAAGTAAATAAATGACAGAAGGTTTACCGCCTTAAAACCTTATCAGCTAATATATCTTAAAACATTACGTAAATTCCTCTTTACGTAAATTTATCAGAAAGTTTTCTGAGCTTAGCCAGTGAAATAAGTAATAACATTAACGGTACCAACGTTTCTGCACCAAACGTACTCACTCTGTCGAAGCCGTCTAATTGGCAATCATACCACATCTCATTGTTTTTCACATGAAGCCATCTTAGGTAACTGCAGCACGAGGTATTAGTTGGTAACTGCCGCTCAAGATAAAAGTCAGGAATAACACTCATATACGGTTTCTTGAAGTCTCTTCGTCAATTTGATTACTATTACAAGCAACAGTTTTTATGAGACGCCAGTAAGTATTTAAAATCATCAGAAGATCTTGGTAAAGAAACAGTATTACTGAATTAGTGAGTCAACAAACCTGTACAGTTGTGATCAGTTCTTATCCTTCTTTAGAAAGGTAAGAATAAACATTTGTAAACTGTTCTAGAAAAGTTCTAACCTAGAATGGCCTGCCCTAGCAATGTTTTAACAGTAAGAATCGGTTCTAGTGTAGAACTCTTAGGATCTGTACCATGGTAGAACTATCCATATTTGTTATCGGCCAGAACTGTCAGAATATGATCTTGGGAAGAACATTTCTAAATGATGTGAATAAGAGCCGCTTTCTTGTCATCATTTAAAATTGTTCTAGTCGTCGATGAGGTCCGGGGCAGTTTATTAGATTTCCTATGTAGACATATAACCGATTTGTGTAGCGGTCCAAAAATGTTCTAGAAATAGAACTGCCATAATCAGTTCTCGAGAATAACTGTTCAAGGTAGAATTCATCAAAGCAGTTTAATGGTAGAAAATAAACTTATCATAGATACCATGCTTAACATATTTTACGCCAGACACGCGTTTCCAGAAAAGTCAGAATCTGTTCTATGGAAGAACAATTATATTTTTTCCGTGTTAAAACTGCCCGAAACTGTTCTAGAAAGTAAATGCCCAAAACGTTCTCAATCATGTCCAAGATGTACCCAGATGTTGATATCGTCGATATCGGCAATGTCGACACGATATCGAATCGATATCGATGTTCGCTTCAATAATCCATGACACACAAAGACATACCAAGATGTCGATATCGTCGATATCGACAATGTCGACACGATATCGAATTGATATCGATTTTTGCTTAAGACATCCATGACCAACCCAGACATACCAGATGTCGATATGTCGGAGGCAGGGTAACAGTCGTTTTTATAAAGACTGATATGTCGGATGATACAATTGACATTGCGATGGAGTTTACAGAAAAACTTAACTTATTTGGAGTAAAACTTGAGAAGTATAGGGATGTTACAGAGAATATGGAAAATATTTTGTGCCCTTCAAAGAAACAGAAAACAGTTTAATTTGATAGTTTTGATAGGTAAAGATCTAATAACAAACATTATCATTTGTACATTGAATTTGTATTTTTATTTTAATCACTATATAAGTTCAAAATATATGAATACTTGACACGAAATAAAACTATTGGATTGAAAAACAGAATAATTATGTAAATATGTTACAAAATAGATTATTTAATCCATTATGAAAAAAAAATGTTTTAGAAAAGAAATAATACAAGTATTACTTTCTCTCACAATGTTTATTGAAAAAAAGTAAAGGACAGTTCTTTCAATTATAATAGAGATTACAACAGAAAAGAGCCATTAACCTGAGACACATCAATTATTAGTTGTAATGGCTTTGAACTAGCTTTCAGTAACTGCTACTACTTTCAGATCTGTACCTTGTTTCTTTTGTGTTTTTTAAGGTGTTTATATGCTTGGTATTGATTTGATGAGTTAGCTTTTTAATTGATCGTATATATGTCGTTCTGTAATACCACTGACCCCCCTTTTTTTTGGGAGGGGAGGGGGGGAAGGAGGGGTTGGCGCCTGCAAACACAATTTACCCCACCTTATTCTGTATATGCCTGTACAAAGTCAGGAGCCTATAATTTAGTGATTGTTGTTTGTTTATGTTTATGGTTTAAAACACAAATTAGGCCGTTTGTTTTCACGTTCGAATTATTTTACATTTGTTATTTCAGGGTATTTATAGTTTACTATGCGGTATGGGTTTTGCTCAGTGTTAAAGGCCGTACGGTAACCTTTAATTTTGAACTTCTATGTCATTTGGTTTCAGGTAGAAAGTTGTTAATATAAACCAATAACTGAAAATGACCAATACACTTAAACATGTAAAAAAGTAAACTGGTATAACATTTGTTCAAGTGTTTTAACTGATGATTTGTGCATTTTAGACATATACGTGGAGATTGAGTGTAGAAGGAAATATTGGTCTAAATATCAACAATATCTTTATGAGTGTACTGTTAATTTTCGTCGTCAACTTCTTAAGCGGAATGTTTTATTACCTTTAAACCTAAACGTAAAATCTATATAAAGTAAAGAATGGATGCTTCCCATTACGAGGGAAAATTTAAATGTCGATATCAATTCGATATCGTTGATATCTTATATATCTACACTAGTTTAAGATGCATACAGCGTATAAGATGGAAAGCAACAAATGACGAGGGAAATTGAAATGTCGATATCGACGATATCGACAACATTAACTAAAGAATAATCAAAAGAATAGAAACTGATAATGCTTAAGGTAAATCAAATTATTTGTCGATATCGGGGTTTTAAAGTAATTACGTGAATATCGATATCGATACGATATCGTTGATATCGTCGATATCGACACATACTGATGACCCAGGGCAATTGGTGAAGTAGATGAATGGGGTATATAGTGATTAAGTTAATATCGATATCGATACGATATCGTTGATATCGTCGATATCGAAACTACATCGTGTCTTGGACATACCTCAACGTTCTAGGATTGAACTGTGCAAAGCATTTCTGTGGTATAAGATAGCTTCTTTCAGACACTGTTTATGCAAGGTGTCAGGAGATCTGTTCAAGAGACTGATCTAGACAAGCACCCTTACAGCTTCGCACAGACTTTAAAAGAGGTTGGATATCCAAACTGTAGCTGTTGAATTTTCCCATACTAGCGTCTAATATTGATATTTTACGAGATATTGATAAGATTTCTTGAGTTTTTTTGTTTTTTTTTCAGCTTAAAATAAGGTTAATAATTTCCAATTGTCGGCAATAAGAGATGCTTTCCCACATTACATAGTTCTTCAATTTAAAAACCAAAATAGTTTGGTTACAAAATGTAGTACACATGTCTGTGAGAGGAAAACTATACAATAAAATTTGAATATAAGTAGGAATTCAAAATACACTTTAACAGGTTCAAAAAGGAATAAAAAAATAGTGTTAATAAATAGCATTCTGCATCATAAATACATAATAACTATTCAAAATGTATCATTCTGTTTCTTTATTATTTTTGAATATCATAAAGGCATCTCAATTTTTCATGTTTGCTTCATTTTTTATATCGGATACATTGTAACAAAGACAATAACAACCATAGTACACGTACAGTTTTTACTAATCTGAGTAATGCCTTTTTGTCCCACAAATATCCCTTGAAACAACTAAACTGACGAAAAATGGATAATAACACGATTTTGAAATTTTCGTCGCCTCAACATATTGTGTCTGTTTGTTTTGTTTACTCATCGTTGTCAATATAATGGAATTTGATACGACTGTCATACAAGTGAGAGGTTTAGCTAGCTATAAAACAAGGTTCAATCCACTATTTTCTGCATAATAAAGTGCCTGTTCCAAGGCAGGAATATGACAGTTGTTATCAATTCGTTTGATGTGACTATATGGTTCATGATATGTTTCTTTTTTGTCTTAAAATAAAATTCCAAGGCACATTTTATGTCAATTTTGGATTAATAAATTGTGCTTAGGCTGCAACCTCAAAAATATGTTTTTCAACAGACAATCGGCATTCCTGCAGGTAAGTAACTGTGTTCCTCTTCTCGCCTATTTGTTTCTTCATTCGTATGATGGAGGGGACTGACTTCATACTTCTCCAAAAGACGGAAAAGATGCTAGCATTACCCTTTACATTTACTAGATATCACAGTCCGATAAAAATGTTGATGTTTCCTCATTTAATCATTCACAATTTGGACACTATGTTCAGGGCACATTTCCAAATGACCCAGATGTAAAGGGTTACTGCAGATGTAGATATGTCGGTTGCATATCTTGACAATCATCTAAACTTGACAGTGACAGACGGCCAGATGATACTTTACCACATTGCTATAATTAGGATTGTACTTTTTCATGAAACAAAATTCCCGCAGCAATTGCATATGGATCATTTATTTCAAACTTGGTAAGTTATTTTCAAGAAAACAAAAAATCCAGGAGCACTTGCAGAGGAAACATTTAATGATAATAATATTTAATAATACTCCTCTAACTTAAGACTGTGAATCGTCGAATTTTAGATATGGTCCCTATAGCCATGTTATTACGGGGGACCTCAATATCGTTCTCAAGACCGAAAGGTTAAAAACGTTTTGAAAAAAGGACCAAAATATCGTCCTCCATCTAAACTAGATTGGAAACAGTGTCGTCAGGTCATAAATGACGTCCTTTTATCGTATTGTAAAATTTGGTGCAAGCGGGAAAAATCTGATAAAAAATTTCTTGATTCTTATCTAAATAGATGTATGAATGTTGTGAATATTCGAATATCACATTTTGAAAATAATTTAGAAATAAATAAAAGAGTACATATTATAATACGCCCATTTCTAAAATAAGAAACCAACTTCAAGTACTCGCAAAGCGCTTTATGATTATACTTGCTGACAAAACAGCCAACAATGTAGTGACGGTATGCCGTAAATACTACACGGAAGTTCTGAAGAAAGAAATTTTAAATTCTTCTACATTGAAGTCCGTGCGCTTCACAGAGAGTCATATAGTAAACAATCATAGCATAACCACATTACAGCTAAAAGCCTCTTCTGCACATTTGAAGGTCACTACTATGTATGTGTTACCTAATCTACACACAAAATAGTAAAATATCGTTTCATCTCGGCCTCTAGTAAGTGTTCTACAACTAATCTTCAGTTCTTTTAACTAGTTCATCAACTCAAAGAATTTATCATTAACTTTTGTAATAACATACATGAAAATAGTGGAATTAACTATTTTGAGAGTGTAAAAAATTCTTTTGATGTTTTAGATAAATTACGGGCTTTTGGTGGTACTATTGATTCTGTTGACAGTTTTGACTTTTCAACTCTTTACACTTCCAAACAATCTTATCAAACAACTGTGATTGCAAATATATTTGCTGCAACTTATTTAAAGTCTTCTTCTCTAATGAGAAAGATAAATATGCTAGATATACTAACGGTGTGGAGCTGTTAATTTTCTCCTTGATAACATTTATGTACGTTTCGGCAATAAAGTTTAACGACAGGTTGTAGGTATTCCAATGCGCACTAAATGCTCCCCTTTAATAGCAGACTTGTTCTTGTGCTGGTATGAATCACAGTATATGACCAAACTCAGTAACGACCCGTCTAAATTTTATTGAAGTGATAAATTCAACAACAATTACCGTTATCTTGATGATATCTCTTCATTAAATAGTTCAGAATTTTCTAAATATAATGCCGACATTTACCCAAAGGAACTTACTCTAAATAAATCAAATATAAACGGTAATAACTGTCCATTCCTAGATTCAGATATTTCAGTTTTACACGGGAAACTCTACAGACAATTTTACGACAAAAAGGACGATGTTTCGTTCCCTATTGTTAATTTTCCTTTTTCGGACAGTGATGTTTCTTTGGCACCATCTTACGGTGTTTATATATCACAATTCGTTCGCTATGACCGTGTCTGTTGTGACGTTTTGGATTTCAATGAACGTAATCTATGTATAACTGGTAAATTAGTAAGTCACGGATTTCGTTACCACAAATTACTTAAAACCTTTACTAAATTCTTCCATAGATTCAAAGATTTGGTTTGGAAATTTGGCTGTACCTGTAGAAAATTTATTTTAAACGGGATAGCACATCCTAACTTTTACGGAAATGTTGTTTACTGGATAAAATTATCGATCCTTTAAATAAACTTATTCTAAAATATTACCAAATCAGCACTGTAATTAGAACTTTGAATATTATTTTTATTGGTATAAATATTGATTTTGTTATCAGTAAATTAAAATGAAACTAAAGTTTATTTTTATATACGTATGCACATTCATGGCACTACAATCTGTCGATACCTGTATCTTGGCATTGTACAAGGTCATGTTTTTTCTCTGTTAATGACATTCTTACACTAAATCCATTGGATGTTGGATGTTTACTGATTGATATTTTAGTCTTAGATGCATGATTTTTCTATTAGTTGATATTAGCTTTGCACTAGCTGTCAGTAACTGTGAGTACTCTCAGATCTGTACTTTTTTGTTTAGGGATGTTTAAATACCCTGCCACGTCCGGTTTGTGTTTTTGTTAGATGTTTTCCTGCTTTGTATCGATCTGAGGTGTTAAGCCCTTTTAAACTGATTTGTATAGCTTGTTCTTATGTTCTACTGTTACACCACTGTCCAAGTTAGGTGGAGCGCCAACAAACTCCGCCACATTCTATATGTGCCTGTCCCACGTCAAGAGCATGTAATTCGGTGGTTGTCGTTTGTTGCTGTATGTCATATTTGGTTTTCGTTTATTGTTTTTTACATAAATCAGGCCGTTTTCTCGTTTGAATTGTATTTTGTCATTTTGGGGCCTTTTACAGCTGACTCTGCGGAATGGGTTTTGCTCATTGTCAAAAGCCGTACGATGACCAATAGTTGTAAACTTCTATATCGTTTTGTCTTTGGTGGAGAGTTGTGTCATTGGCAATCATACCTCATCTTCTTATTTTTATTTATATTTTAAAGCTGATAAGTTATTTTCATGAAACAAAAATTCTAGCAGCACTTGCATAGCGAGCATTTATTTCAAATTTAATAAGTTATTAGAGGAATTCTGCTGCATCAACAGTAATCAAAACAAGAATTATTACTGGAAAGTAGAGTAATGTATTTGAAAGATGAATGACAACATCATGATTTGGTTGTCCGATATAGAATTAATGTGTTACTCATGACCATGGATATGTTTCATTTCTCATAACCACAAAATCGTCCTTTTTTTCCTAGTTTATGATATTATCTTATCGAATTGTCATCGGATTTGTACTTCTTTCACCAGCAACACAACGGATGCAACTGGTGAAGCAGGAACGACTGATCCTACTCAAACACCTGAGTTCATCACCGATTTGTTCGTTGTGTCAAAGTTAAACGTACTTGATTTTCATTTATCAGAATTAAGGATGTAGTCATGTCGGGTTTAGGAATTTTTGTCAGATGTTCGGACTTCTTGGGTTTTTCCCTATGATACAGGGTAAAATATTTTGCCCCATATCGCCCACTTTTCTTTTCATATAAGACTACAATAGCTCATAAAAGGTCATTTATCAAAATTTTTGCAGATTCTATATCTATTTTCTTGCGATTTTAGACCCAAATAATTCCAATGCTAAATATATGATAAAAGTCCGAGTCAGCCTTTTCCCGCCATATCTAAAAAAATAAATATCGCGAATCTTGTTTTAGTTGATATTCCAAAAGAACACAATACAGACTTGATGATCCGGACAGTCTTCTTTAGAAAGTGGCGTAGAAGTATAAATCTTAGTAATAAAGTGAACTATGAATATCTTAGTTACATACCAAGGAGTTTGAGTAGCTGCTTTGTATTTTTGATGAAGACATCTGTTTTTAAACTTTTGAAATTTAGTTGGAATGACTATAAGATAAATGTCTAGCCATATTTGGTAATTTGAAGATACATGAAGAGTGATAAAAGACACATTGACGTTTTTTAGCTTATACTTTGTATCAAAGAACAACAACATCAAAAAAAGAAAAAGTGTTTAACTTTTTGTTTTTACGTGTTTCCTAATTTCTGTCGTACTAATTAATTGATAGAATCCATAAAAAAAATGTTAACGTTGTGTGACCAGTATTTGATTTTGGGCACACGTTATTTCGACCCTTTAGTCGTGATCAGCCGGATATTATATGGTTGGGGAATTTGCACACGTGCAATTGGACGTCAATGTTTAGATCCTGCAATACATAAAGCACAATTACCTCTTTAATCATCATATCAAGCATGTGTCTCATTCTAATTATATCAATATAATAAATAGCTCCAAGTTTTCAAACTACACGTGTTAAATCCAAGAACATGCTTTTTGTCAAAGGAGAAGGTCCGATAAGGGCTAATTTCGGCCTACAATTCGGAGTACATCTGATAAAAGATTTTTGACATTTTTGAAACACTCCAGTGTCTACTTAAGTCGATTCAATTAGTCTATGTTAAAGATTTTAACCAATTTGGTCATTAAAGACTCAAATTCAAGCTGAAATATGAAAAATCTATCAAATATGCCATAAAACGTCACTTTTCAGATGGCTTTTGTCTAAAATGGAAGTGGCTGCATTCGTGTTCAGTCTCAACATTTATATATGTTATGTATTATCATTAAATACAACATATATTTAAATATTAAGACTGAACACAAGTGCGGCCAATTCCATTTTAGACAAAATCCGTCTTAAAATTAACACAAATGCTAATATTGTGAAAATTGCAGTATTTTTGCATGAAAAAATGATGCTAGTACCTGATGCATGTCCATTGTATTGTCAAAAACAGCCCATATTCATGTAACACAAATATTTTACTTTCCAATAAATAGCTATAAGTGACATTTTTAACTACTTTGTAAAATCGCTATATTTTGGGGCCAAAAAGGGGTCTTACCGGACCTACTCCTTTATATAAGACAATTTGTTTTCACCCGTAAAACAAATATTCACAAATGTACCAACAAATGATATACAAAATGCCTTTAAATTTGAAACAACTTACACTTTATAAATATTGCCATACTGTCAGCCACTGCATGGTGTATAGCTGAAAATAAAGATGATAATCTTGAGCATTTTTTTAATTTAACTATTTGTCTTAAATATATGCACCCATAGCATAGCTTAAATCAGCATATAATTTTCATCTGAACTTGTCGTAATAGTTTCTGCAACTAGATACTAGTCATGTCCAATACTTTCTGTCTTCAATTTATCAAAATATTGCAATAATTGTTCATGTATTATAACTTAAGAAACAGAAATCGGAAACGATTTTATTGTAACTCTACTTGCAAAATTGTTCCTTTCCTTTTGGACTAACTAGGTTGTTTTATATGAAATCGTATTTCTTTTATACTAAAAGTAAAGGCGTATACCAGCTGTTTGCCTTACATAACGATAAAGACCTTTTTTAGTACATTGTATACTAGAAACTCCAATTCATTTAAAAAAAAAATACAATGTGTAACTTGTACCCTTTGGCACGTACATGATGTCGCATTGCACCATGGATATCATATCACTTGTCCTAATGACAGCACTAACCCCTTCGTTGCATCTGATCTCTGTTTAGATTCCGATTGTAATTACTCCAATGTATATGCATAGACTTATGATACTAAACTGTGGACATCGGCATACATGTACTACTTTCATTTAAATTGTTTGGACTTGTCCAAAAAGTGGTCTCTAGTCCTCTTCAAATCAAGTAAAAAAATATTTTACTTAGTCTTTGTACGTTTAAAGTTTTTTTTTAATACAATTAAGAACAAACATGACTTTGGTTTATACTCCATGAATATGCTAGAAAAGTTAGATAACATTACCCTTCGACACATTGGAACTTGCACTAAAAAGAATAAAAGGCTGTTCTGTGATATTTTCCTCATACTGACAGTTGCCTTCAGCATCTCCAACAAGTAACAAACCCTCGTCTGTCTCACATTTATCTGATTTATCATTTCTTATGTAAAATCGTCTACTATAGTTGCCGGCATGACGATCAGCTTTCCCATGTATACTACAAGTGTATAAAAAGCTATTATATTAAATAAAATAAATGAATCTCCAATAACATTTCATAGAAAAAATATTTAATAGGCATTAGTTATGAATTAGAAAAAATAAGATTTTTTTTTTTTGTTTCAATCATATATAAAATCGAAATAATAATATTTTGCTATTAGCTATCAGTTTGATTCAATTTCGTCAAAATATGCTAAAAATAAAGATCGATAATGTATTATTCGGCTTGCAAGTCAATAATTCAACCTCATTTGAATCTAAAATCATGCATTCTTCAATTAAACCTTTAGTGAAGATGGGCTGCGCATGTGTTCAACGTGTGGTTCATTTATTAAAAAGCCCACAAAAATCATTCTTAGATAAGTGAAAAGATGATGATTGGACGTGGTTGTCTGTCTATTTATATTTATATTTATGTTTATTTTGGGTTATATGAACGTTGGTATTCTTCGGAGGTCATTTCTATAGATAATTATATGGTGTCTAATCTAAAATACACACGAAATGCTGATACATTATAACGACTTCATGTATTGTAATTTTTTTCTTTTTGGCCTTTTTATAATTTGAATATAAGTTTTAGTATATTATAAAACAAATATGAGAATTTATGTCAAATAGGTGAACATAAATTTGACAGTTAATGCCGTTGTAAGCCAACAGAATGTGTAGTAATTATGTTTAACCAGTACTCAAATATTTGATACAATTATTCCTATTCGTGCACTACATAAAATCAGATAAATGTGAGACAGACGAAGGTTTGTTACTTGTTGGAGATGCTGAAGGCAACTGTCAGTATGAGGAAAATAGCCCCCGATTTTCCCTGCGATTTAATGCCCCCACTTGTTGGTCAAATATCTAATTACGATTTGCGAAACAGTAATAATTATGTAGTACCAAGTTTTAGACTAGATATAACCAGAAAATCTTTTTTGCCATCTACTACTATTGAATGGAATAACCTAAACCCCGACATACGTACGTCCAAAAATATAAATATTTTTAAACGAAAGATGAAGTCTAAATTGATACAGCCACCCTCCTATTTCAGTTGTGGTGATAGAAATCTTAATATCATTCATACACGTTTGAGAAATATGTGCAGTTCTTTAAATTCAGATTTACATCGTGTTAATATTAAACCCAGTCCAGCATGCAGCTGTGGCCACCCTGTTGAGGATAGTATTCACTATTTTTTTGAGTGCCCTTTTCACAACGAAGCAAGAGAAATATTGTTTTCAAAATTAGAAAGGCATGCTATATCCATTGAGCTTCTATTGGCTGGTGACGGTGACCTTTCTTTTCAGCAAAACAAAGAAATTTTTGAGTCTGTACAAGCATATATCAGAATAACACAAAGATTTAAAACAATCAATTAACATTCTGAATTCCTACTTTCCAACTCTTCACTCCAGTCCAGTTTTATATATAATTCCATATTATATTATTTTTTTTGTATTTTTTTTGTTTTTTGTTTTTTGTATTTTGTTTTTGTATGCAATTTGTATTTATACATGCATTCCTACTATGTTTTTCGTCATTATCTAATGTACTTTGTGTTTATATTTATATAGGGAGAGGACGTCACTAATGTTGTTATAACTTGTGTCCAATCCCTTTTGCTACTTTTGCAAATAAAATATGTTTAAATTATAAAATAAACTTTAAAAACGGTAAAGTTATTTCGCTGAAAAAAATGAGCATAAGTTTTTTTTTCTGTAACGACGACCATCGCAAGTCAGTTTAGAATAGGTTTGCCATGAATATCGAGATCAAAGTACCTGTATTACTGTCAGTTTTGCCATTTGATGTTTTTTGTTCGTTTTTAATTTTTTTTCCCCTCTAGTCAACAATACGAATTGATATTTTATTCTCATATTTTCATCAAATATTTTTTCAGTTTAGTCATACCTCATGTCGAGGAATAGGAGAAGCATTTTTAGTTTCTGAGTGACCGGCATACAGTAAGAGTGTAATAACAAATGGTAATATTAATTCACATTGCAGTTACTCTTGTATGAAGAAAAAGAGACGTTGGATACACGGAAGAGAGACAGTAGCAAACATAAATCGTCAAGTTGACTTCTAGAATACGGTTCCAAACAAAACTTTGGTCCACAAACAAAATGTTGAAATAGTTTTCCTTTCTCTTTACAAAAGGAGCGTTAGCTGTCAAAATCATGTTAACCGATTTCAATCAAATTTTCATATACGATAAATAATATACTAAAACGCATATCCAACTTTCAAAAAGTCCTAAAGAAACAGTTACCAATGCATTGATTCGTTAAAATGTATTAGCATTTATTGTGTATTTTATACTAAAAACCATTTATTAACCACCTAGATTACCTCCGAAGAATGTAAGCGGTCATTTGACCCGATATAACATAACTATGATATAAATAGACAAGCCAGCACGCGTAATCGTATAAAGACGATTTATCTCAAGGTCTGTTAAATTTCATGTAAAAGATTAAAAAAATATCTTTCATGTTTTTATGTTAATAGTATGTCTATTTAATAGCTGATTATGCCTATCACATACGTAACCCTTTTACAGCTAAGGGTCAAATTAAGATAGCATGGATATGGATTAAAATGAGTCGGATTATTAACTTGCAAGCCAATAATGCATCAGTGATGTTTCTTAGCTTATTTTGACATATTCGATCACACTGATTGCTAATATCGAAATATTAATTAAAAAAATCCTCTTTTTTATATTTTTATCGTGTCACCCTTTTAAATCGTAGATAATGTTCCTATAGGACGCAGTAATAAGAGGAGAAATCACAGAAAAATATTAAAACGTTGGGCGACATTGAATAATAGAAACGTAATATACGGAATAGATTCTCCAATGATATTTTTAGTGAGCAAACTAGTGTAACTTTTAAGTTCTACATCGTATGATATCATTAATAAATTATTAAACCAGAAGCTACTTGCACCGGTTGTAGCGGAAGTCTTTGCTAGATGTCGATCACAGTTAATCTGTTCATTGAAGAACACAGCTGTGGGGTAATATCAACACACTATAAAAATTATATCTGGCAAAATAATCTAACGGATATTGTCATAAATAGTATTGTTGCCTCTTATGTATGCAGTTACGTGGTTTAGTGTCTTCAATATTATAATTAGTTAACACAAAATAAAATGAATTTAACGGTGAAACCTTACCCAACAACAGAAAAGTGTGTAAAATCTATGTCTTTATTCAGGTCACTGTAACTACTATTGATGAGTCGACTCTTATCAAACCAGCTTGTCTTGTTTGTTTCACTTCCATTAAACAAAAAAAATGCCTTTTCAATACCGCTCACAAAAAGTGATATTCTAACCTGAAACAAGTTAATGATATATAGATTAAAAGATATTCTGCAACCACTTTAATTCACTGGTCGGTTATAGCAAATTTGTTATCGTTATAAGTCCCAATTATCAGGTTGTCTGCAAATTGATATTGTAAAATATCAACTACGAGTCACAATATGAAACTTTTTGTCGAGTAAGCACAGCGAAAACGGCTTCATATTGTGTCGAGCAGCTGATATTTTATAGAAATAGATTACCTTAGTTGTATTTGGCAAAACTATTAGAAATTTTTGGTCCTCAATGCTCATCAACTTCGTACTTTATTTGGCCTTTTTAACATTTTTTTATTCGAGCGTCACTGATGAGTCTTTTGTAGACGAAAGGCTCGTCTGGCGCAAATATAAAATTTCAATCCTGGTATCTATGATGAGTTTATTTACAATATAAATATGCAGACAACCAGATAATCGAATTATCGGGTTGTATTTGCGTATTTTGCGTAATAAAAACAAGTGTTTTGTTTGTTTCACCAACAAACCGGAAGATCACGGGTTTCGGGTTATACCTATCAACGTCGGTTCGTTCATTATGACGTCCATGATCAAAGTTATCAAGGCCGGTTCAATGTATTTGACGTCACAAAGCCGTGATATCTAATACCATGAAGAGCTGAGCAGAGTGATACAGACAGTGGGACGACCGATAAATATATTTCCATATACTAGTATAGCAACAAGTAATATTTGAAATGTAGAAGATGGTTACAATGTTTAACACGAATATTTTCTTCGAAAGAATTTTAAATCATTGTAGAAACAAAAGTCGAAAGAAGTATCTTTGCCTGTGATATAATTCAATTCTTGATAATGCACATGTCAAACCAATATATTGCTAGACCATATACAGCAAATTATTAGCACAGAACTTGAAAAAGGACAATTCCGTGGTTTCTTTTTAAAAAAGATATTCGGTTTTGTAATTTAGTATTCCAATCCCATGTACACATGTTAGAAACAAATTTAAAATAAATACCAAATCTATTTCTACATTGGACCAGTTGTTGACGATATCTGACTTGAAATGTTTCTTCACTTGGTATTTCGAACATTGTAATGACATGGCTTCTTTGTCATTCACATTTAATGAATCGTTAGACATGAACAAATCGTAAGCACTACCATTTCCTGTAAAGGAATATAACAATAGTTTAAATGATGACAGAAAGACCACATTTTGAGAAAAAAAATCTTTGTGTTTCTTTTATGGTGAAATTTCGTAAGGAAATGAAGGAAACATCACTTGATATATATTTCTAAAGGCATATGCACATAATTTGATGTTATTCTATATATAGATGTTTTGTATGTGGATTCCCAAAGTTTTTGTTGAGTTTATCTGCTGGAATATTGCGCAGGCAACTAGTGTGTCGGTACATTTTGACTGAACATTTTCGATTACACGCTAATTAATTGTGCTATAGGCAAGGCTGTAACTTCCTATGACATTGCTTTTGGTGTACTGTTTATGCTTTTTATATCATGCATTTCAGTTTATTTTGTAAATTTGGCTTTTATATTTTTTGACCATGAGCTTATCTGATGAAGATTATTTCATGTATATTAAGCTTTGAGATCATACGTTAAATTCCCACGTCTATGTAGAACGGGCTAATGGTTGACTGGTCCGTCCATCAAGGAAATACGGTTTATGTACTTAAAGAAATAAAAGTTTACAAATTATTTCAAAATGAAGTATATAAAGTTTGTAGTGTTTATACTAAATTTTCTGAATATAAACTGCCAACGCCATGGCAAAAAAAGAAAAAAAGAACAAACAACAAACAACAGTATTCAAAACAAAGTATAAATAACTGAAGACTGAGCAACACGAACCCCGCCAAAAGTCGGGGTGATTTCAGGAGTTCCGGAGGGGTAAGTAGATCCTATTCCACATGTGGCACACGTTATGTTACTCATATAAGTACAAACCCGTAGGTCACATTCGAGGAAAAGAGGACGGGTTTGGGGTTACGACAATTCGAAATTATTCGTTCTTCATCGATGTCTGTGAAACAAATATTCCATAACGGTCAACCAACTTGTGATGGCGTTCGTAAAAATTTTAATTAGATGATTACAACTTCGCTACTTGGAACTCTTGGTTTAATAGCTCCCTTGTGAGGAGCAACCCTCTATAAGGATATCATAATAGGAAATGCAAGCTCTATAATATCGAATCAACTGGGAGATATACACTCCATATGCTAGCGTTGTTGAAGTGTTACTATATAGAAATTGAAAGTTCACAATTGGGACGCTAAAATCATCTTTTCAAAGTTTTGTTGTCAACCAACTCCCATGGTCAATTTCTAGATAAAAGTTGACCTTAACAATTGGTGAGAAAAAACTGTTTTTCTTTAACTTGCATAATAAAACGAAATGTTTGGCGAAACTTTTTGAATACCTGAAAAGAAAGAAAAATCACTTGATATATGTCTTTCTTTAAGGAATTGTTTGTTTCTGGTATCATAGAAATGAATGATAAATATAGATTACCTCCAGTTGCTATTTTGTAGACAAGAGCCCAGCATTCCTCTTCACCTCGAGACATACAAATATGCAGATTCACAGCTGCATAAATTATCAAAACTGTAAATTATTATTATTTACATTAATTAATTAATAAACTTTATGCAAACTTCTAAATTCTACCTGATTATAAAATGACACACCACATCGATAACGTTTGTAATGTTTACAATGCCTAATAAGAAATTATTTTATAGATAATTCATTGTATCTTATATACCTATATGGAGTTATTTGCTTTCAGAACGATAAGGTCATTCTTTGAAGAAACAATCCGGACGATACCAAGTTTGAATGAAAAGTGATTCTATGCATAAAATAATTACCTGTGTTAGGTCATTATTTACCCCGATTTTAATGCAAACTAATCTGTTAAAACATCATTTGATGTTGCCAAATAGGAGTTTTCCATACAACTTTCCATTTTGAATATTCCTAAAAGGTTTAAGGCAGAAACAAACCTTTACTCCATATATCAGTTTGAAATACTAGTACCAGAGAAATGTCTATAATTAAAATATGGTCGGTCTTTCATTTAAATAAACCTGACACCCCTCGGTGTGTTATACGACAAGAAAAACCTGAAAATATGCATTATCTGTAACATATACTTTAGTGATAATGTAGAAGCATGATCACAAGGTACAATCAATAATTTGTCTGTAAAAATGGGTAGAAATAGTTTGTCTTGTATATTACAGGACTCTGCAACACTGTGCAATTCATAGGAGATTAAAATTATTCATGTATGTTAAGCCATCTACTTCTAGGTATCCGTGTATATAATGCCATGAATATGAAGTTTTAATTATTTCAATATAATGTTTAAACATCTGCATCTTGTCTTTGGTTATTCTCGTGTCCACGAAGCCGGTAAAATCAAGCTATAAATAAGAATATCAATTGTACTATTATTAAAATAAAATTTACAATTATACCGAAATTGGAAACGGTAAACGTTCCCTATCGAATCTGAACATTTCCAAGTATACAAAAGATTCATTCAACAGTGGATGGGAAGTAGAAAATGAAAGCAGAAGCATAGAAGAATACAATATATTTCTTTAATTGAGATTTAAAGTAAGAATATAATTCGAACAGAGCAGTTAAGACAATAATTAATAAACAAAACAAGGACAATAGTATCAAAACTGTTGTAACACTCCCAAACGTGTCCATCCCCCAAACGTGTCCATCCCCCCAAACGTGTCCGATGCCCCCAAACATGTCTATTTCCCCCAAACGTGTCCTAAAAAGTTGATATCGCCCAAACGTGTCTGATTTCATAACCCCTAAACGTGTCCGATGCTTGTTATTCGCCAAAACGTGTCCACTTTAAAACGCCTAAACGTCTAAAAACTTTAAGCTCTATTATGTTCTCATTGACGTCAATAACATAGGAAAATGTCGGGTTTCAGTTGGATCCAAAATAAGATTAAAGCCGCTTTCAGAAGACATAAATCCTGAAGTATTTTTGGGCACAATTTCCAGAAATTAAAGAAGAAAATTCAAAATTCATTAGCATTAGTTTGTTCCACCCCAGTTCTTTATATTTAGCATGGCATAATTGCAAGATTGAAAGGAACAGACTTGAAAGAAGAAAATTCTAAATTTATTTAGCATTAGTTTGTTCAACCCAAGTTTTTTATATTTAGCATAAATGCAAGATTTATTAGCAACATATAGATAACTTTTGACTGTTGCTTGCATAAAGTCTAGTGGCAAATATTTCATGCATATTTAGAGCGAACATAAAGATTAGTTTAGTACAGTTAAATTAATCCTTTACTAAGTAATTTATTTTGTACTAATAAACTGCGGTGATGCCTTACTTTATTAATTATGTATGAGTATATTGCACGGCCGGCTTCCTGCAGAGGAATTTTCAATTTTTTTGAACAGTTTTGATTTTTTAAAAACTCTTGAAATTATAAACTGAAATCAGGTTTTATATCATAAATTTTGGGTTTCGAGCATCACTTGAAGACACACAAACAATAGACATTACGTCCAGTGGCAAAAATTCTTCCATAATAAGGACGACAACATATTAACAATAATACTATAGGTAAGTTCTATAAAGAGAGGCGGAAGAATGATATCCGGGACTTTGGGATTGTATCATTATTGTTCCGATAATTTGGGATTGGGCCTTAATGTGTACGGTTGTTAGGAATATACACTAATCGGGACTCGGAATTAAATAATTTTTGGGAGCGGGGAAAGACCGCTTTCTTTTTTTCGGGACTTCAGTATGACATTCCTTCATTCCCCTTTATATAATAGAGGCCGTTTGAAATTAAAGTTGGGGAAATTCTAACTGCCACTAGATAATAAGGGTATATGTCATTATGTGTAGGGACAAAAATGTTGCCTTGCAGCATACCACCGACGACACCCTGAAAGAGTTTTTACAAGGATTTTAATGTGCAGAGAGTGGGAATTCTCCCTACGGGAGGTATCTGATTTAATGTCCACATCATTACATAACATTGCTGCGTACTTTACATCCCACACAGTCAATCGGGGGTCCCAATTTGGCACGGGTTATACTATTAATTTCATAAAGACCTAAATGACTATATTTCAATTTGCAATCAAATAGTTAAAGGAGTATACGTCAATGAAAGATCAATAACCAAATAATGGTAGACACGTTTGGGTGTTTATAAATATGACACGCGTTAGCGCCCTTTTACAACTAGATATGTTTTTGAGTTCAGTGACGTTATATGGACACGTTTTGGGGAATCGGACACGTTTGGGGGGATGGACACGTTTCTGAGTGTTACATAAAGATTCGGAAAAAAGACAGAAGTATTTACAGGAAGAAGTGACATTTTTCTCGATCTTTTTTATTTAAAGAATTTCAAAAAGCCGACAACGTTACCACCTAACGTCAAATTTCTCATTGATCCAGCCAGTTCTCGTAGTAACGTCAGACAATCTATTAGAATTTTGTAGTACTCTAATATATTTCAAAGATAATGGCAGATAGTAAAACTGATGTTGATGTTGATGATATAGAAGAAATTATAATTAGATTACTATCTAAAATTGACGTCGGTTAAAGTATAAAAGAAAACAGAACGGATAAAATAGACAGTATACAGTATAGATCAAAACTAAGCGAGTTTTAAAGAAGTAAAGTATCAAGCATTGAAATGGAAATTGATGCTGTGAAAAAAGAACTCATATAAGAAAAGACGCTAAAGAATTTAAGTTAGAATTCAGTAAGGCAAGACAAGATATTAAAAAGATTAATGATACCTGCGACCCAGCCGATGAATCCAACGTTTCTAATACGCGACAAGACCTTCAATGCAGATCAAAAACGAATGATTTAGTCTTTAGTGGAATTGAGGAGAAAATGGATAAAAATACCAAACTCGTCATTCAAAACTTTATTTCAATGGACCGGAAGGAAGATTTCAAAAGAAATACAGTTTGGAATTAATTATAGGTTTGGCAGAGTAGGTAATATTAAAGGTTAACCAAGGCCTAGTGTTGTGGATATACTTTTTAACGAAGACCTGAGCACAGTATTATAGACAAGTCCTAATATAAAAGAAAAACCTTTAAATAGAATTTAATTTACAATTCACACTAGAAATTGAAGAGGCGAGAAGAAAATAATATCCTGTCAGGACAGAAGCCAAAAAATAGAAAAAAGCTAATTTTGTTCGCGATAAAGTGATAATCGACGGCAAAAACTGTCATCTTTCGTTGCATAATAATGTTTTATAAGGAAGAGTTATCAAATTGTTACGGCATATCGAAAACGAAAGTAATTTTGTCATGTGGATTAAAATTTCATCTTAAAACACGAAATTATTACGGCGATGTCATACTTAGTTCGGTTTATGTTCCGCCAAAAAATACAAAATACAGTTACTCTGATGCTTTTCAAAAAATCAAAAGGGATATATTAAAACATTCCTTTGAAAATAAATACGCATGTCTGGCTGGTGATTTAAACAGCAGAACACCAAAAGACTTAAATTATATAATTGCCGAGGAAAACAATCTTGACGATATAATTATTGAATTATCCCTCACTGAAGAAAATTATCTGCACACACTTGACAATATTAGTTGTCATAGAACTAGGATCAATATGGATAAAACAAAATATAATTATGGTAATTTACTTTTAGACATATGTAGATACGCTGTTCTGTACATTGTTAACGGACGAATATGTGATAACATTGCTGGTAAACTTATAAGTAAAACAGTAGACTATTTCTTGGCATCAAAAGACCTTTGAAGTATTATCTTAAATTCTGATGTATTAGATTTTAGTAAATTATTTTCAGACGTGCACTGTCCTTTTGGACATTTGATTAAACATAAATATGCCATGCAACTGTATCAACCTATCTAACAGCCGAGGTCAGATTAGGGATTTTTGGTATGATTATAACATCAGTAGTACCTACTGTATTGCACCAGATGCACATTTCGACAATACATTTCTATAAACAGTATATATACTGATGTCCGGAGTGAAAATATTTGAAAATCCAAATCCTTAAATAGCTATATATAGATGCTGATGATGATGGATGTTAAACATCCAGTGACAAATTAAATGCATATTCAGGACAAGATAATGTTAATGCGATATGAATCTGAACCCTGCTTCGTACAAGACAGACACGCTGAGACGGGTTTTAAACGTGCTAGTTCACACAGTAACAGTCCACAGAAAAACCTGTCACCCTACTTGGATTCAATATTCTGGCTCAGCGCCGACCAGTCTTTGCTTTTACTCCTTAACGCCTTGTGCTTAGCGGAAAATTTGCAAATAACAATTTTAATGTCATTGGTTTAACCCGGTCGGGGATCAAAACCACGACCTCCCCGACTCAAGGCGAACACGCTACCAAGAGTCCACCGAAGCGGTCAAACCCTAATAAAAACTTTGACGAAGCTATCAAACCTTAAAGTATCAACAGGATAGTCAAACTCGGAAAACGAACCAGCGCTGCGCTATGCAAATGAGGGAAATGCAAATTCATTAGTTTATATTATTTTAACAAATTTCTAAAATTAATGACATGGTCACAAAATTAGACAAACCCCTGCCTTTTATCATTGCACGGGAGAGAAATATGGTTTTAATCACCTCAACCATAGAAAATAAAGCTATTCTAATGTATGAAGTTTATTGATTTTTATTTGACAATTTGTAGCGTCAATGACGATGGTGTATCAATATGCATCTCCTGTACTTCGAACGTGAAAATGCTCTGTTTCATTCTGGTCATGTTGGCAAATAAGAACGATTACTTGGAGATACAATTTTGCAAAAAGAAATATTTAATTTTAATGCAACTAACTTAGGAGTATAAACATAAAGCGGATGCATGAAAAGTTAAAAAGAATAACAAAACTAAACTAATTATCAATTTATTATTATCTTTATAATGAAACACTCTGGATATTTGTATTTTACGCTTCGTTTCCTATTCCCGTGTTAAAATTTGACACGGTTTCTATTATCCGATAAATTAATTGACAATTGGATGATGTGTAATTGAGTTCAATAAATCACCTGTAAATCAATAATGTAAACATTTTTACTATTTCCGTTTTCAGTATTTCATTGCAGTCATAATGTTTAACAACAACAGTTGTTTGCTGCTTTGTCAACAGGTGCAAACTAAAAAATTGTGTAAAGTTACGTTCGAAATGATTACACTTATCAACAAGATTCATGCATTTTAACAAACAAAATCGGAAAACAATTCCACAGATTTTGTTAATCTCTTCTGCTTCAAAATTTCGGTAAGAGGAAGAGAAGTCGCTAAGGACTTTTCTCCTTCCTGTTATTTAAATTCTTTAAAATATTCATAACATCTCGGTCTTTGACTTGTTAAGGTATTTTCCTACAACATGGCCACGTGGATCATAACTATACATCGAATTACCACAGTCTCAAGAACTAGGAGTGCTGTTTTTCATTACCAATGTCGACAGCAATAGATTAAATGCATTTAAATTCACGATTATATCTATTTAGATGTTGATATAGTAAACATTTATCTGCTCTTTTTTCGGGTTGTTGTCTCTTTGACATATTCGCCATTTCCATTCTCAATTTTATTTTATACTGTGATGCCTACGGAAGCGGCACAGATATTCCTTAGTGCGTTTATATAAGGCACACACAGTTTCTTCCACGACTGAACACCACATCCCGGCCTAGTTCATCTTTTCAAATAAACTAACTATAGACATGAAGTTTTTCATTTAAAGTCGTTTGGAAAAGAAAAGTGAGAAAGTTCTGCTATAAACAGTAGACAAAACAGAACTTTGTGTTTTTATTACCAAGCCTGATCGTGTTTGTCAATTTCGGGCATTGCACGGATAACTTTGGGATATCCGCGTGCATTTGTTTTCAAATAAGGGCGACAGAAAGCATTTCATAAAGGTCGGAATCTGTGACGGTGTTATATTCCCACTACTCATCTTTTAAACAGGTATTTGAAGTTCGGATATTACAGATTTTATATGTGGAAATGTATATCCGTAAAGGTAAAGCTAGTATTGCATTTTCCATTTTGTAAAATCGTTATAGTAAGGGTAAGGTGGTCTGAGGGAGGAAAAATGGTGTTAACAGAAGGAAGATGATATCCGTCAAAAAATCAGAACAAATACGGAAGGCTAAATCCTTTCAAAAATAGGACAAAGAAAATTTTAAAAACTGTCATCCATGACCCGACAGAAACAAGAAATATACAATGAAACATACATATAACCACAGTATAGAATCAAGTAACTGCAAGAAAACTCGCTATAAAACCACAGATGGGGACAAAAAATCAAAAAACTCATTTTACTGTCAAATATTAAGAGCAAGCAGGGAAATTATCTCGTGAACTTAAACTCTAAAATTGAAAAAAAAATAGCAATATGCTCACCAAGCACGGGGGAACATTCTGTCGTATCCACACAGTACGAGGGTTAAGCTCCGTAATAAACATCAGACAAAAAATTGATATGCAACGTACAATCATATTTGACAGCTTCTTCCTTAAATGTACATAACAAAAATATGCCAGTTGCTTCAATTTTAACTGTAAACAATTTTGCTTAATTTTAAAATGAAAATAAAAAAACTTAAAAGGCACAGTTTGCGAAATGGCACAAAGCTTTCGAAATAACAAAAATGTTTGCGAAATAACGCTAAATATTGAAAATAATGTTCAAGTGGAGCTAATATGACTCCATATACGTACAATTTACCAAAAAATATAACAAAAAAACGAAACTCCAAGGCAAATTCAAAAAGAAAAGGTCCATAAAAACTGATAAAAATCAAACGCTATCAATCAACGGAACAAGTGAAAAACAACTGCCATGTTCCTGACTTGGTACAGGCATTTCACGAATTTGAATTAACTGTTTTTATTTCTGTAATATATATATACCGTGTACCAAAAAAAAAGCAATATTGCTCAATAAAATTAAAACCATTACGAATTTGTATACACAACAGAGCATTAAGCTATATTGTGTAAGACATATATATAGCGCAATGTTACATAAAAAAATGATTCATTTTAAGACAATTAGTTCAACATTAATTATATTTTTATTTTTTAATGAAAACAATTAGGTAAGCGATATGTTATGTTCTCACCTGTCTGTATTAGCTGCATTTTCAGATAAACATATAATTACTTGCTACGAAGTCATGCTTTTAAACTAATGTACAACTACTCCCCTCGATTAAATAATTAATGAAGCATCATTTTATTTGATCGCTGAACTTTTCAAAAATGTCTTCATCTAATGTTTCTTCGCTCAACATCTGTCATTGTTCTGAAATGCCTAGTAAAATTATATTACAATTGCTATGACTTTGCATTCAAGTTCTCAATACCCTGCACGGACTTGAAAATACGTGTTTGTTGCTTTCCAGTTCAGCAGCAGCATTATTCAAAACAATGTGTCCGCAGAGGGTAACATAATAAACACATATTTCTGTGGACTGTTACCTTTTGAACAATCATTTTTAATTTTTGGCTTCTCGTGGCGGTCTAGTACAAACCAAGGTTAACAGTAATATTACACTATCATGTTTTTGTCCTGATACGCACGCATTTTTTGTAACTGTACATTAAACAACAATACCAAAGTATGTCAGTTATGATTTTAAAAGTAACAGGATCTTAATCAATGACACATTGGTATGCACGTCCATTAGACAGTAGCCGAAACAACGCTAAAGCATATTTACTAATTCAAAGTATAAAGTTATATGAGACAGTTGTTATCTGTGAAAGAGGACACAGTCTGTTAACTAGCTATGTAAAACTGTTTTACTTTTTTCTTAATCAAAGTATTCAAATAATTTTTACTCTTATAATAATAAGGAAAATCACATTGTTAAATAGCTGAAAACTGTCATCGTTATAATATGAAACTGAAAATGCACTTGAATCCAAAGTCATAGCAATTGTAATATCATTTTACTGGGCATTTCAGAACAATGACAGATGTTGAGCGTAGAAACATTAGATGAAGGAAATTTCGAAAAATGCAGCGATAAAATGAAATCATGCTTAATTAATCATTCAATCGAGGGAAATATTTGTACATTAGTTTAATTAGTCGTAGAAAGTATTTTTTTATTTTATCTGAAAATGCAGCTAATACTAACAGGTGAGAACGTAATATATCGCTTACTTAATTGTTGTCATAAAAAAAATAAAATTTAATTAATTTTTGAACTTATTGTCTTAAAATTAACCAAATTATTGTTGATGTAACATTGCGCTATATGTATGTCTTACACAATATAGCTTAATGCTCTGGTGTGTATAAAAATTCGTAATGATTTTAATTTTACCATTTTAGCAATATTGCTTTTTTTAGCTACATGGTATATATATATTACAGAAATAAAAACAGTTTGATTTTTTGTCAGTTTTTATGGACTTCCCCTATTTGAATTTGCCTTGGAGTTCAGTATTTTTTGTTATACTTTTTTGTGAATTGTACGTATACGGAAGCGTATTAGCGATTAATTTCAATCTTTCGCGTTATTTCGCAAACATTTTTGTTATTTCGAAAGCTTTTTGCTATTTCGCAAACTGTGCCTTTTCAGTTTTTTATTTTCATTTGAAATTAAAAATTCGGTTGATAGTTAAAATTGAAGCCACTGGCATATTTTTGTTAGGTGCATTTTAAGGAAGTAAGTATCAAATTTTATTGTTTGTTGTATTATTAAAATTTCAAAGGGATATCTGGAGTCTTGAGCGCATAATCATGGTATACAAATAAGTAGGAGTGACACCTAAGCTTATTATACAGTAATCCTGTTGATTAAATCAGATATATTTACAGTATCAGATATAAGTTGGTGCATTTAAACTGTACGATATCTATAATGCTAAAAGAGGAGACCAGATTTAACGTGTCGCTATTCCGTTTTCAAAATCAAATCAACAAATATTGCTCTCTAACTGTAGTTATCCTGTTATCCTCCCTAATGATTATTTGTTTGGGATTAGCTGGAGAATTAAAATGAAAACAAAACTATTTCCGTATGTCCTTTCCGTCATTATCATCGGTTTCGTGTTTTGTGCCTACTTCTTCCGCTAGACTCCTTAATGATTGATTGGTTTTCGCTTAATGGACGCTTTTCCTATAGTTATTACGGAGGTTGTCCCTTGTACGATGTGGATATGACAGAATGTTCCCCCGTGCTTAGTGTGCATATTGCTATATTTTTCAGTTTTAGAATTTGAAATCATGAGATAACTTTCCCTCATTGCTCTTTATATTATAGTGTTACTAACTTGCTGTTTCTGTATTGGTCGATGTATTGATTCAAGGTCTGTTGTATTGGTCCAAAAGACCATAGGGGCGAGAGCCAATACAGCTGACCGAGAATCTATACAGGGCCAATACAGATTCAGCAAGTTCGTAACACTTTTATTAAATAATCAAAACAGTCCATATGGCTGATCCGTATGGCCAGTCCGTATGACAGGAAGTAGCTACAGCTGGTCTGTCTGACAGGAAGTAGATACAGCTGGTCCGTACGGAAAAACTAATTAATCGGGCAAAACAGCCGTATTAAACGTATGGTTATTATGCGTTGATCTTTTGAATTCCATATTAGTCATGCTGATTTAAGCATATTATGTTGAATTAAACATTTTATTTAATAATTATTTCTATTGTATTTAATGCAATAGTTTATATATATATATATATATATATATGGCAGTCAGCACGGTATAAGAACATCCGTTGTTCGACATGCTAGTCAAATGCGTTTTGTTAAAATATACTTTTTCACTTTTTTGGTCTTTTGGAAAATGTTGTCTGTGCTGTATTTAGACCCCTCTACCAAGAAATGTGTTTTGCATGCACACGTATAAAAATTGCGGTTTTTATCCAACGCAATCATAGGTTTGAACGTTGTTTTCAATTTAGACTTGTTTATATTTTTTCGTTTGGGCTTGTATTATATTTGCCTTCGGGTTTATATGATCCGTTCATCCTATTTCGACTCTTCAAAATTCAAGAGTCTATCCTAAATTGAGGTAAATTATATGGCCTTCCAAATAACGTTTCGATTCCTAACATCACTGAAGAGACATTAATTGTCGAAATCCGGATATGGTGTACCAATTTTTGCACCTCATGTTTGTGGTATACCATCTTTTCCGCAAGTTTATTGTTTTCTGTTTGGTATTTAATTGATAATTAAGATCCATTTTGTTACATCTGGTGATCCGTTTATTTGGCAATCGCCATGGCAGTCAGCAGGGTTTAAGAACATCCATTGTTCGACCTGCTATTCAAATGCGCTTTGTTAAAATATACTTTCTCACTTTTTTGGTCTTTTGGAAAATGTTGTTTGTGCTGTATTTAGACCCGTCTACCAAGAAATTTGTTTTGCATGCACACGTATAAAAATTGCGGTTTTTATTCAACGCAATCATAGGTTTGAAAATTGTTTTCAATTTAGACTTGTATATATTATATATACATATATATATTGTTGGGCTCAATTTGAGACGAATTATATATATATTGTGGCATTAGCCTTGTATAACCACGTTTTATCCGATGGAGAATATCTATCATAAAGTTGTCACATGTTTAGACGTGTATAATTAAATTAAAATTTGATGTGGCGGCATGGTAATTAACATTAACATCCTTCACGACAGACAAAATAGCTGGTCTGAAAGGTACACCATCTACTTGCCACTATACATCATGTGCTGTGTTACAACCCTAGATAAAGCCGACGAGGGAAGGCATTACATCGACCACCGAAAGCTTTATTTTTATGTAACCTAGGTGGTTGAATGGTCTAGGGCGCTAGACACGATGTCACAGAAGCAAGGGTTTGAATCCCGCTGAGGGAGGAACACAATTTTCTAACACAAATTTGAAGATCTAAAATGTTGGGCAAAATTTGAGATGAATTATATATATATATATTCTCCGCAACTATGTTATTTGTAGTTTATGAGAAATAAAATCATTTATACATATCCGCAGTGTTTCATTATAAAGATAATAACTTTTAATGTAATTAATCAATGATTAAAGGAGTTTTGTTACTCTTTAAACTTTTAATGCAACTGCTTTATGGTTATACTCCTAAATTGATTGCATTTAAATATGATATTTCTATTGGCACTATTGTATCGTCGTCGTTCTTAATGGTCAACGTCCGATGGCGAGACTGAAAAAAACACGTATACGCACCGTCGTCATTGGCATTACAAATGGTCAAATGAAGCCTTAAACTTCATATATCAGAATAGGTTTTATGTTCTTTATAAAAAAAAAGGAGATGTGGTATGCTTGCCTATGAGACAACTATCCACTCAAGTTCAAATGAAGTGGATGTAAGCAATTATAGGCAACCGTACGGCCTTCAACAATGAGAAAACCTATACCGTATAGTCGGCTATAAAAGGCCCAGACATGAAAAATATAAAACAATTCAATTGAGAAAACTAATTTATAAACAAACAATTTACGAAAAACAAAAATGACAGACATGAACCAACGACAACCACCGAACTGCAGGTTCCTGACTTGAAACAGGCACATATATAAGTGGCGGGGTTAAACATGTTTGAAAGCGATAATCCTCCCCTAACCTTGGTCAGTGGTGTAACAGTACAATATAAGAACAAACTATTAAAATCAGTTGAAAAGGGCTAAACTCATCAGATTGATACAAAGCAGAAAAACATCTAACAAAAACACAGACCGAACTTGCTAGGTATTATTACATCCCCCAAAACAAAAGCAAAATACACAAAGTACAGATCTAAGAGTACTCGCAGTTATTGACAGCTAGTTCAATACCAATAACAACTAATAAAAAGATCATGTATCTAAGACTAAATAATCATTCAGTACATATTCAACATCTAATGGATTTAGTGTAAAGAAGTCATAAAAAGTCAGAGAAAAACATGACCTTGTGCTATTTTGACTCCGAACATCAGTATATAGACATTTATTGTCGAAATGCGCATCTACCGCAGTTCAATATGTACTATTGATGTTATAATCTAACCAAAAATTCCTAATCTGCCCTCGGCTGTTCGAGTAATATTCTTATTTTAGATTTCACTTGTTAGTTGAGTACTTTTAATTTATTGCATGTACATTCCTCCTTATAACAAAACCTAGCTATAGCTAAATGAT